CCTCACGCGCGTGCTGGCAAGGTCAGAGACATCTGGCGAAATCGGCGCCCTGTTGCGATAGCGACTGGCCCACGATAGACGCATGGCTGCTTGGGTACGAAGGGGCACGCTAACTTCAAGTTTCTCTGTATATTTTTTGCCCCAGCTGCGCCTCCATGCCCGTGGCCATAGCAGCCCCCAACATAATCCTATCTCAAACCCAGATTATCACACTAGCAGAAAAGAACAAATAGCACTTTAGCAAAAGCACACACAAAACACATGTCATCAAAGCTCTGCAGGCTAACAACACAAAAATAACCCAAACCCATAAACTTTGTACCCGTTTGAGCACGTGTTATTTTGCCTTTGTTTTCCTAGTTCCATGTGGCTCCAGATGCGAGGCTTCCATTGCAAATAGGAAGCTGACGACCACTTCGTGGCCTTGTGCTGTAAAAGAAATGATGACGATGATGGTGGCGATGATGAAGGTTTGATTGCAGGACTAAATGGACTCGTTGCGCGAGTGGCGTCGAGGCGCATGAGCGCACGGTGGCACCATGCGCTGCGGCGCGCCTGAGTGGCGGTGTGGCAAGCAGCGCCCAGCGATGCTGGGTGCGGAACGGTCGTGCCAGAGGCGCGGCGAAAGAGCGTGAGGCATAGTTGAGGGTAGTGCATGACGCGTTGGTCAATTTTGCCCCCGTCACCCTCATGTGATGTCACAGCAGCGCGTTGGCAGGAGCTCGCTGCGCTTGGGGGCAACTGCCATGGATGTCCAGCTTGGTCTTAAGGCGGAGCTGTCACATGGAGAAGGGTGCGTGTGAGTCATTTTGTTGGTTGGGGAACGCCCGCTTGCGTGGATGGCTATGCCTGCATGGCGTTGTCTTGTTGCTGGGCGCGTCTCCTAGGCTGATCGCCGATGGGACACAGTGGATCGAGTTGCTGATATCCCGAGCAGACACACTGGCAGAAAACGTCACGTTTGCGATGCCAACTGCGATGCCATTTCGACACAAAGTGATGCCGTCACAGTGATTGCGACGGCATAAAAGCGGCTGCGATAGCATCAATTTGTGTTAGATGGCACCACAATTGGCATCGCAAACATGCTGTTTTCTACTGGTGTGATGTGAGGCTCGCCGAGGCGTGTTGGCTTCCTCTTGATTGTCTCCTTTCCGGATAGCTTTCCATTTGATGGATTGTGGAGATGTTGCTTTGATCCTTCATGAGGGATCACAACAACATCTGATCATGTGCGGAAAGGAGCATGTGATCATGTGTTCCTTTGTGGGACGTTTGCGCATTCGAGGCCCGCACGTGGCGGCCGTCCCTGTGGTTGAATGTAGCTGTGTTTCGCTTGTCACCAGTAGAAAACAGCCTGTCCGCGATGCTAATTGCGATGCTATTTGACACAAATTGATGCCATCACAGCCACTTTCATGCCATCGCAATCACTGTGACGGCATCATTTTGTGTCAAAATAGCATCGCACTTGGCATCGCAGACATGCTGTTTTCTACCAGTGTTGGGCGACACCCCGCTCTCCCTGGCCGAGGGTGATGACAATACCGGAATGGTAAAGCTGCTCGTGAAGGCGGGGGCGTCTGTGAACGCAACGGAATCGTATGGGGACATGCCGCTCTTCGGCATCGCGTATACAGGAAATTAGGTAGTAGTACTATTATTGGTGAAGGCGGCGGCAGATGTGTTGGTTACAAACAACCGCGACGAAACGCTGTTGTCGGTTGCCTGCGGATGTGTGGTTGCTGGCGAGGGCAAGCAAAACCGTTGCCCTAAGAGGAGGTGCGATGACCCTGGGGATAGGCAGAAGCTGGAGGACCTTGTTTCATGCTGACGCCTTGGAGGCATGCAACATCTAAGGCCAAGTTGGGCTGGATTATTGGTCTTGCGGCAATGTATTGGGACTGGCTTATCTTCTACGAATGGTTTCTCTGCTTGTTGTCAAATCCTATGCCAATGGCGACCTCCGCCACTGCATCTGAAAAGGGTGAGAAGGAGTGTTGTCTCTGCACGCCATGGCCAATTTTATCCTTGAGTCCTCGCATGGGAGGACTCAGAGATAAAGTTGCCCGCGGCGCGTAGAGCTGCATGGGTGGGGTGAGTAGAGGCCGTCGACGGCGTCGGCACGGCTTTTACTTCTCCCGCCGACGCCACGGACCACGGGGCGGCGACGCCGTCCACCCTGGAGACGGGGAAATCCGGCGATGTCGACTGAGATTGGGAATCGAGTGAAACATGCCCGTATTTCCTTCTGTTGCTTTTAACGGCAGTACTGTTTCGGTAGTGGAGGATCTCCACGGAATACGATACGTTTGTATTTTGCAATATACATACTTCAAAAAGTTTGGCGTCGCAAAGTTCAAATCTTCGTAGGCCGCGTTATTCATCTCTTCCACTATTTTGAATTGCATCTCCAGAACTTTTTTGTCTTCAAGGATATGAAGGAGTCTGTATCTTTGATCTTTACATTGCGAGATTAGGCTATCATGCTGGTCAGATTGATGAGCAAACCCCTAGACAGCGCAGCTGGTTTCAGAACATCCAATTTCCCATATCCTGTGCGGGGGGTGTCCCCATATTGTTTAACCGCCATCTTATTGTTCCTCATCCATGACATCTTGATCCAACTTGATTGCTGACAAAAGACGCTCCCCATACCACTTGCAATAATAAGCGGAGTCCATTTCTCCTAGGGACAGCTCAGCCAAATCTAAATCGTCCGAGGCCAAGATGAGCTCGCCTTGCCCAACCAATGGCAGCACTTTGATTCAGTTGGTGTTGAAATATGGAGAAAGAAGAGCGAAAATAATGTGGCGAAAAGGAACGTGAAAAGAACGGTGGTGCCGCTTGCTGTATTCAAGACTTCTATTGAGAGCCAAAAGGCTTGAAAGTCAATGACGGCGAGTGCAGTGGAAGTGGGGTGGGACCCTGTGTGGTACATTAACCCTTCAATGTTCGCCCTTCGAGCTAAGCCTTTGCATTGTTGGTTGGCAGCCATTCCCCAGACAAATAGTGATTATGGAAATCCACCAGGTTTCCATGACACCGGTACAAAAAGGGGCCAAAATACATGCTTTTGAAAATCGTGTACCGTATAATTACACGTGTTATAACGCGTGCAAAAGTCGTGGCAAATCATGTAAAATTGTGTATTTATCGTGTAAAAATGGGAGCAAACCGTGTAGTAACGATTGTAGTAACGAGTGTACATGACTTTTACACGTTTTGGAACGGCTTTGCACGATCTTTACACGGTTTGAAGCCTTGTGTTTTGGCCGATTTTTACATGTGTGGATGGCTGTCAGTATGGCGCCTGAAGTTCTTGGGCCATATTTCCCGACTCGCAAGCTTTGACCTCCATTTGCACAAATTGAATAGGCAACAATCTTTTACCACAGGTAATAATAGCGCTTCAGTGGTGCTGCACTGTACTGCAGTGCTACATATAATGCATACTAAAAGTGCTGTAATATGATCTCTGGGAGTGCTGCACAGTGCTGGTAGCACTCCACATTCACACAAAATTGTATGTGGACCTTGCGGGGTCCAGAGCGCCATAGCACATTGCTAATACTTCTTCGATGTATCAACAATATTTTTAATGTTAACAATGTGCTGTGGCGCACCAATTTGCTGTGGCGCATCAATTTGCTGGGGCACACCAATTTGCTGGGGCACACTAATGTGCGTCGACAGAATCGACAATGGACCTGCACCGTGTCTCCAGGGGTGGCTGCAACCCGTTGGCACCATTTCGCCGGGGCCCATTGTGCAGCAACACGGAGGCCAGCACGCCCATGGATGACTCAGCAATTGTGAGGCCATCCAGCTGTCATCGTTGTTGCCGCACCAGGCGGGTAAGACTCGCGGAGGCCGAGGAAGGTGGAGGCGGAAGGGAAGCCGCGCAGAGCGCAGGCCCGGCAAGTCAAGCGGCTGGCGGTCGAGGCGCGGGGCCTCCAGGTAGCGGCGAGTAGCGGCGAGTGATCTATGCCGCCGCTGCAGCCACGCGTGATGGCAGTTGGCGTCTCCCAGACGCCCATGCACGCACACGCGTGGTGGCCCAAGGCCTTGCAGAGACGCTCGAAACGGACGCGTCCCTCCGAGCCGCTCAGCCCGGTCGGGAGCCTCAGGCGCGGGAGGAGATCCTGCCGGCTTATTGAGGGATCTTACCCCTTTCCGCAGCGCTGATAATGACTTAGGGGTGGTGCCATGACTTGAATGCAAGACCTGCCTAGCTTGGCTAAGCCTATAGGCTGTGGATCGACGCGACTGGGCTAGGTGGACATCGAGCGGATCTATTCAGGCCTTTACCTGCCGTGGCCGCCGCCAACTGCCAACGGCTTGCGAAGCGATCTTCCCGCCGCCGCGTACGTCTGATCATGACTTGATCGTTCGTGCGATGACCTGAACGCCAGACCTGTCTGGGCTGTGGATCCACGCGGCCGGGATGGATGGATTTGAAGCTGATCATTTCAGACCGTCGACTGCCGTGGCCGCGGCCAGTTGCCACAGACAAGGGACGTCCTCCTTGGGCCCTTGGCGGCGGGAGGCTCCGCAGGGCCGCAGTCGTCACGTGACGCCCGCTCCCTCGGGTGAGGACGCCTGACTCACAGGGTCGCCCCTACTTTACCCGCTGACTGTTCCCCTCCCGCCCGGCCACGGGAGGCGCCCCAAAGGGTCCAGGGCCGGCGCCCGTCGCGCGGGGGCGCTGTAGGCGGCGGAGCCGCGAGTCGGCCAAGCAAAGCGATTGAGGGGGATCCGCAATCTGGCGAGCAGAGGTGATGGGGCTCGATGGCCGGTGATGGAGGTCGCAAGCCGCGCAGAAATGTGCCGTCCCCGGATTCGCTTCCGGAACGGACGTCCGAAGAGCGGAAAACCCTCCCCCTTTCCTTTTCGCATGCCACCCTCCTTGACGCAAACCACGATTCCTTCACGGCACCGTCGCTGCGCCAGCCGACTCGAAAATGCTCCAATCCCGGCGCTTGCTGCCTGGGCCGCAGATGTCGGACGCCCATGCCTTCCCCGAGGTGGCGCTGATCAACCCGCCGGCCGTCGCCGTCGGCGCCCGGACTCCCGTGGAGGTCCACCTCTCCCGCCCCGCTCCCGCCGATCCACCTATGTGCGTCGCCGTGTCGATGAAGGGCGAGAGGGGCGTCCGGAACCCTCTGGAGCCGAACGTCGACACTATCACAAGGCGAGTGGCTGTCGAAAAGGCGCAGGAGTCGCCGTTTTTTGAGGAAAGGCGCGGGGCCCTTGGGACCAGTGCGCGTGGCTGTGAACAGTCGTATGTCGATTCCGGCGCTTCCGATCGAGTCGGGAGAGGTGCTTGCAGGCCAGCCGAGGATTCGCCATGACCGCAAGGATTCAATCCGTACCAAGGACCGTACCGGCAACCGTACCGGCCGTATCGGTTGCGAGACGGGGTCCGGCGATCCGGGTTGTGGGCGCCACGCGTCCGTACACGAGGTGCTCGGGACATCGTGCGCGACTCATGGGCGGTCGCGTCCCGCCCGGCGATGCACACTAAGCGACCGATTAATCACCATGTGTTCGATTCCTTCATTTTGGGGCAACCTGCAATCCAGCACGTACAACAACAACAACGGGTGATAATTCCGATGGCCGTTACATAAACGGCTCGAGCCGCGCGGCTGTGGAAACCTGGACCGACTGCGCAGCCACTTGGTACATTGTGCGCAGTTGCAAATAGCGCCATTGCCAAGGCGGACACCAGGGCGATTTTGTCGCGCTCGCGTTCAAATGACAGTGAACTCTGATACCCCCTCCTCAGCGTCGGTCCTTACGCCGATGTCGCATCAAAGTCCGAGTTTGGATCGCTTAGATGAGGGCAGGGCGGAGCCTGGCCCTGCTCTCCATCAACAATATCGCCAGTATCTCAAGTATGGCGTTGCCGATGCGTCTCGCAAGTACTGTAGAACATTTACCCTTTCGGATTGCCACTCAACGTTCGGCCTGTACATGAAGAGCAGCAATAAGAACGTAAGGGTGCCAAGAAAATGTGGAGCAACCCCAGCCGCAGCCACAAGCGTCTCTAGATTGCTCGTGGCATCTGGCGGCCCCGGATCCGGGGCATCCGGATGCATGAGTGGCTGTGGTGGAAAACCGGCTTTTGAAGCCCGGCCCGTGGGAGCTCAGCCGAGTCGCCATCCGGCTATAGCCAAGGTGCAGAACCCACAAAATAACGGCCTGTCGAAAAAACGCGGAGCAAAATGGTAACGCTGAAGTTTCAAAATGCCGAAGAGTTGAATGTACTACAGTAGTCGGAGGCTGTTATCCTGATGGACGTACGACGCTAGTCGATGACGCAACCCGCGCGCACCCGTACGGCGGCCACTGTATCGGGCTGAGGAGATGAGAGAATACGATATTCAAAGATTCGGGATGAGCGCCGTTGATTTGCCCGGACAGATGCCAGTTGGAGCCCACCGTGCCCGGCATCATCGACGTTTGCGTCTGCTTCCAAGATAGCTCCCGATTGGGGCAGAGGGGCGTGCTCCTGGCGCTGCCCACAGCAGCCTGCGGGGACCTTTGTGGACTTCCTGAGGCGGCAGCAGAGCACGTGCGCGGCAGGGACGCCGAGTTTCTGTCGTGTTTTCTGGACCTCACAGTTGAGCAGGTGGGCCTCCGGCGCAGTTCAAAAATTGACTGTTTCACCCGGCGATTGTTGATTTCAAACTGTGTTATTTTGATTGAATTTTCGCAAATCGTTGTGTTTCAAAAATCACCGATTCTACATGATTCCATGTAATGCATTACACTAGGAGTCCAGATGCGGTGAATGTTCCGCAATGTAGTTGTGTCTAGAACGAAGAATTTCATTTGTTGTGCCACGTTTGCTGATTCACCCTTTGCAAGTCCCCGGCGCTGCCTGTGCGGCACGATAGCTTAAACAAGTCGCAAGCCCACGCCCCAAAGAACGAATTCCCGTTGTTAAAAGCTGAGCGGCTGTGACAAACGCCCTTCCAACCGCAATATGGCTTTGCAAAAGCTGGGTATCCTCAAATATACACATGCGCACAGAGGTGTGTGCATTAACTTAGACAAGCCAGATCTGGTGCACCATGTGGTATAAAATTGACTGCCGATTGGTGTACCGCGCTGTCGGCGGCACCGTCCCAACGTTTTCTGAGAGAGCTGCCCAGACACTAATAATGTCAGAAATGAGCAGGCCATTATGTCCTTAACGTCCTGGGCATGTAATAAAACATGCATTGCTGCATACAGCGCGTCAATATTGGGCATGGTACATAATTTCCTTACATGAATTTTGATCCCCGCGCAAGCAACAGTTTAGATTTTGCCGAATTCTGAATGCGTGCTGGGGAGATTTTGGAACAGTTGGGTCGGTCGTTTCGATAATAGCATAAAAGAAAAGCACCGCCAATGGACGGTACCAATCAACAGCAACAGTTAGTTGGTTCACTTCACTGGGGCGTGAAGCGCATCCCCTTCATTGTTAGAACTATCAGAACTTCTGTGTTCTGCGGGTTTGCATGAGGTTGGTGAGGGGACGATAGCCCAGCCTGCAATGTATAGCAATGCATCCCATAGTATGGAACGGTATCGAATGGCGCGCTATTCAGGGGATACTCATGGCGTTGGCCAGCAAAACCAATTAGCGACTTAGATTCACACGTTGCGCAGACCATTTTACTAACTATATCCTTGGAGCATATTCTTCTGGAGGCGCGCAGTAAACACTGCCAGAATGTGCCGTATATACGGTGAGCGAATTAGATGTATTCGATTCGCACATAAACAAAAGCAACCCCAAACGATTTGGTCGTCTCGGCTTACTAAATTCTTGCGGCGCGACGGGCTACACGGTTAGGACATGGTTTGGAAAATGTTGTTTTTGCCAAAAGTTTTTTGTGTTGCATTGGAAAATTCGTTTGAGGGTGGGTATGGGTGGAATGAAGGCCACGTCGCTGGAAGCACGAGACTTGGAGAGGAGAATTCGAAGGGCTGTCTGGAAGAAGAATTCTCAGGAGCTGTCGAAGGATCTGGGGTCATACTTGAGTCAGTTGTGGAACAGTCCGCCTGGTGTTTTGCCCGCTAGGGCGAGGGAAAAACTTCACGACGTCGTTGGGTATGCATTTCCTCATGGTTGTGTTCAAGCGTGTTGGAGCAATTCTCTTTGGCATTGAACACAATTAACAGCATCGCACGAAATCGCTAAATGACCTGAAAATTTCTATGTTTTATGTTCAGTGAGGTCATTGCCAAGATGTTGGAATTTCATTGCAGATTATGTTTGCTGCATTTACAATGTAGTACGTGACATGGCCTTTTAAGGCTGCGAGATGGTAAGCCTTTTGGTAAAATTGAGTTCCTGCTCAAAGGATGTCATTTGGTTGCCTATGTGCTTGTTGACTCACCCTCTGGTGCAGACTGCTGCTACTGTGAAAGCAGCTTCACCAACATACGTCGATCCCTCCTTTGTCGCCGCAGCGAGCCTCATGTGCCTTTTCTCTCAGGTACCTCGTACAGAACAGGTGCTGGGAGGCCGCGTCCTTCCTGTTGAAGACGAGCTTGGAGCACGGGGTGGAGATCAGCGTCTGTGGCGCGACGCTCACAGAACATGACATCGAGCCGCGGGGCCTGCAGGCAGTGATGGGGCGCCTCCAGAAAGCGCTCGGCAGGGAGGACCTGTAAGCGGACTAGGTTATTGATGTGCCTAACACTAACTAGCGTTAATGACACTAAGCGGCGTCAGTACTTGGTCGAACTGTTTGGATGGCCACCGCGGAGCTAGCGGGATCGTCTGAGCACAGGCGAGGGGAAGGGCTATGGAAAGCTATGTGAGGCCACAGTAAATGTCAATGGATGGTAATGAGGTGAGAGTGGTGCTGTGTGCTGGGGGTGGGGAGAGATAACCGCTGCGCACGTTGGAAATTGACGTGTCCCGGGATTGATGCGCTCTAAAGTCGATACTTGGTTGGCGTCATGCATGGGGATTGGCTGGCGGTGCCAAGCTTGCTCAAGGAATTTGAAGGACGCTCTTTAAGGGTTCTACTAACGCGCTGAATGGAAACAGGGCGCCCTAAATTCTTGCTCTGGAAGGCCGGCGCTGACTCAACCTCTCCTGATCATGTTGTGAACTCCGTCTTGTGGATAGTTATATTCATTATGCCGAAGCTTCCGCTAGGTTTCGGTTTATCGGGGACACATGCATGGGGACTTTGACAGCGCTGCTGAGAATCTCAACTCGAAATTAGTGACGGCTTGCATGTACATAGTATTGTGCAAGGGAAGCTAATTTTGCCCTTCGGACTGTGTGCACTTGAGACTTACTGTCCATTGAGTAGTCAATAATAATACTTAATATAACAAAATAATACCACTTAGCACTATTGATTTTATTATTATAGTATGTTTTATAATATTACAGACAGGCGGTAGCCACGACCTTGGCAAGAGATTCTCTGTGTTGGGTCTTCCACACGGAGCAAACTGACGCTTGGGCGTTGGAAATTTTTGGAAGTTTGGGCATTTTGTGTTAAGTTGTCTGCCCTCATTCGTGGACGCAGTATTCTTTTGTCAGATGGGATGTACTGAAGAGCTTGGTCAATTCAAGCCGATGGTGGCCTGTGAGGTGCATTTCAACCACAGCAGGTTCGAAGCATGGCACAACATTCAAGACTGACGCAGCGCTGAGGCCATGCAACTTTCTGGGGATGGACATTCATGACCACGGCTCGCATTGATTGTGCATTGTACACTTCTCGCCGTTGAGGATCATTAAAGAATGCCAGGGATTCCAGGCTGGTGAATAGATAAGGAGCTCCTTTCAAGGCAACACGAATTCGCCGGGCGTCACGCGGTTCCCGCACATTTCTGGGAGGCGCAGGCAAGCGCAGCTGCCATCGTTCATGCAGCTGACTTGGGGGTACCAGCGGCATCAATTATTCATTTGCGCGTGAATCCTGCAGGGTCCCCGATGGCGAATACCCTTCTAAGGATGCAATCAAACGACAACATTCGTCCAATGGCGTCAGAACATAGCACTTGCGCTTACAAGGTGTTGCCGGCCACAAGCCCGCACGCACTATATCCAACATGCGATCGCCACCAACTCCCGTATATCCATTATTTATCCATTACATACCCAATGGAATCCTTCGCAAACTACTGAGTGTCGTCTTCTCACCGCTGGCATGGAAGCCGCGCACGTCTTTTTTGTTCTTTTCCCTGTCTTTTTTGTCTTCCACTGCACACGTGCAATTGCGTCTCTTGCTCGCCATGTGGGCAGTTGGAGCTGTGCAGAACGCCGGGACACCCGACGCTGGGTTTGCCGTTGCGGCTCGCTTCCATGGTCGAGCAGGACTCCTCCGTGGCGGATGTGCAGGAGGCGCAGAACGATGAAGAGATGAAAGGGTGAGCGGGGCGCCAATTACGAAACGCGCCATGGGCGGGAAGCCCCAGCGCCCGCCTGCGGCACCCGGCCGGATGCCGCGGCGCCCATCCTCGCGGCACGATCAGCTGCGAACTGCCGGTCGCGAAATTTGCGGCTGGGAGGCGCAGGAGGCGATCGAGGGGGTGCTGCCATTGATTGTCGTCCTTGTTAACGCAACCGAAGAAGAAGATTGCCTGCATATGGCGTTGCGACAAAACTGCGCATGTCACCGTCTGTGCTACACCATTAACGCAGCGGAGAACGTGGCATTACATGGACAGACCCCTCACGGGAACGTTGTTGCCTACATCTTTCCACATTATGGGGCAAGACACAAAAGCATACCTGCGGAACAGTGATGGCAAGCAATGCAGAACCGTGCTCCCGCCGTGGGTGTGTCTTAAGTCCCTGCCTGGCACGCTCTGGTACTGGATTCCGCCTACGCTTGCCCGGAGTTGTGTTTGGAAGGCTTCAAACGGACCCATCTCGGCGCTTCCAACTTTCCATGCTGATTGTATAACCCAAAACGACAGTGTGTACTGTAGTTTCCAAGGTGGACGCCTGTTCTGGGAATGGATTGGGTGACTGTGTTCTCAGTCCAAGGTGATGATGCAGTGCAAACCCCCTGTACAACGCCAATTCCTTCGACTGCAATTGTCAGAAACAGGTTTGACAAACAGGTCCTTGCGCCTCGTAGGTGTTGACAGGCACAGGAATGTCAACGTTTGTTGAGCTCCCCATATCCGTGGTCTACGCCCCACCCTGTTGCACCTTATGAAAATGGCAGCACCAATCTCCACTACACATCCACTTTGGACAAAGGCACAGAAACAGGAGCTGAATTGAATGATAAACAAGGGGAATGACTGAAATGAAACACAGTCCAAACCTGCCTACCACCATCGACCATCCATCACTTCTGTTTGCTTCCACCTCTGGATGAGCTGTGATGCTCCTGTCACTGGCTTGGGTTTGCCCTTGTTGTCCACATTCCCCTAAAGATCACAAATTTACACTGTGGAGGCCGCCACTCCGGAAACCGCATTCCAGCAGAACGGCAGCATATCAACGAACAGCACACTGTACACTGCAATAGCTCAAGATGAAAGTGTTTTTTCACAGCATGAAAGATGACGCAGAATTCTGTAAGGGGTGTAGGAACAACGCGATTATCAAGTAGAAAATTTAATGCGCCACAGGGCTCCCCAGTCCTTTCCCACCCTCCTGTAGTCTCCTCTTCAGAAGAGATGCTTTGAGCCACCGTGCATTGTCCTGTCCTTTTGTGCCATTCTTGAGGCCCGCGAGCATCCCTTTCAGCAACCCTGCCTGAACAATGGCAAGATAATCTTGAATTGAAATCCACAGTGCCCAATTTCATCTGTCAATTTATGTGGCACTGTCTCAGGCAATCGACAAGACACTGCCCCAGCACACAGCAGCCATGGATGGGCACTGCTCCCCCCGCGCACCCCCCCACCCCCACCCCCACCCCCACCCCCACACACGATATAGTTTGTTCCCACACTGGTCAGACTTTCCTTGGGATCAAAATAACCCAATCGCCTGAAGGGAGAAGCTCATTCCCATACCAGACAAGTCAATGCAAGAGCCGCAGGGTTCAGAGCAGAGAAGCACACACAAGCAAGGAACGCAGAAATAGCAAGGGACAGAGGCCTTGCACAGATCCTCATCAAGAGAGCTTGCCAACATCCGCAGATCGATGCCCTTAAGTGCACTGGGGGGCCATCCTTTTCTCTCCACAAATGTGCCCACATTGCCCACAATATCGTTGCCCTGCATATCTTCCATCACCACGACCACACCCCACCCTCCCCTTCATTACTGCGCCTTCCAGCTGGGTCTGCCTTGCAGTTCTGTAGAGACAGAACAATACCTGCTTGGAACTTTCCTGTTTTGCTGGATGCAGAAGATTTTTGCCAGGGAAAGTGCAGTAGATTGGACAAAATCGCATTGTGTGCAAGCCTGGCCCTTAAATCTGTTTCATTGTACAGACATCCTTTGCCTTTTTCTGCACATATTGCAAATGTTTGCTAACTCTCTTCAGAAATCGACAGAGTCTTGTCACTGCAAATTTGACATGATGGCAAGCACAAGCCCATCCACAAACTTTGTTCCAGAATGTGTGTGATGTCCACCATCGCCTTCCAAGTCGCAGAGACAATTCTTTGCAGCTTTTGCACAAATGCAAGCTAACAAAAGGATGGGTGCTCATGCTTCCAAATTGTTTGTTCGACCTCGTGTTCGATTCCAGGCAGTATGCTGAGGAGGACCTGGGCTGCACTGATCGTGAACGCTTTCTGCTGGAATTGGAGTTCATACAATGCCTCGCCAGCCCCCAGTACATACACTGTGAGCCACCCCTCCCTGCCCTCCCCCACCTTAGCCCCCCAAAACGAACAAAGTGCCTAAGCTGCTGGCAGTGGTAAGGAGGCATTTTCACAGGTGCACTTCGGATTTTCTCGGTTTTTCACAGCTGCAGTAGCAGTGACCCTCCTGTTTAGAGGTGCCTTGTGCAGGAATGTTCCTTGAATGGTTGATTGAAAGTATGATTATACAGCATGGCGGTCAGATAATCTTGCCCCGTGTGTGGTTCATTTGACTAGACTCACTGAGTGCAGAATGGGTTCCAAATTGCACACCCACAGAACCATGCTGCACATTGGGGCGGTGTCAAGCCTGGTTGGAATTCTGCTTTGGTTAGTTTCTTCTATTGGCAGGATGCTGCACCGGCGGAGCATGGATAAGCACTCTTGACACCCACACTGCTGTTTGCAGAATGTTCGTGACTCTCACAGCCTGTAAGCACTGCGTAGCAGTGACTGGCAAGAAATGGGTGACGTGCTGACCCAATGACAAAATTGCCACTGCTGCTTTGATGTATTTGTGCATTGCTGTCGTGCTGTGGCAGTTGGTGTCTGAAGCCAAACCAGGAAACACTGTTGCAATTGTCCTTTGCAGCACGCAGCAGTTCAAACACAGGAATCTGTCAATGCTTCATGCAGACAAACCTCCTTTGTGCAAACATCCTGGTGTCTAACCTCCGATTCGGCTGGCTGTCCGATGTAAATAAGTGCAATGCTGAGCAGGTGTGTGGCGAAAACTATGAAACAACAAAACAAGTACTCCAAACTGGAAGTATCAAACTGCGGTCATATCCCCCATAGTGCACGATCCTTGCAGTCTTTTCACGTTGCAGAAATTGTTCAGCATTCCAACATGAAGCAGTAAGAATGAGTTGTGCATGGTTGATGGCAACGCTGACGACCACACATGTATGTAGATGGTGGTGTTGTGCATGGGCTTATATAGAGCATCCACACTGAAATATGTCCTGTACAAGAAAACAAAAGTCCAAATAGTTCCACAGAATGAACATTCGTCCCATGCAGGGGCCATTGTTGTCCACCAATGAACTGCATGAAAGATGGAAGAGGGTGTGCATGTGTCTCTTGCCAGGATGTCTTCTGGCTTCCAGAAAATGTATGTGTATGCCATGCATTGGAACAGTCCTTCTGGCAAGTATGCAGTGAGCCTTTTCTGTTTTCCAGCACATCTTGGTTGGCCCTTGCTCTGTTCCTGCTGGGACACCTATGGATGCAAACAGCATATGTGTGTACTAGCATCGCCCAATGGGTGCACTGCAGGGATTGTCAGGCTTTGGTGAATGTTCTGATTGCTGATGTATGTGGTGCTTTAGGGCTCGCACAGAACCAGTGGTTAGACGACCCAGATTTCCTGAGGTATCTTAAGTATTTGAACTACTGGAGGAGGCCGGAGTATGCAAAATACCTCATGTAAGTTGCACACAGGTCATGAGGATGTGTGGTGCTGAACTTCGGCTCATGAAACTTGTGCTCTCACTGTACTTACTGTACTGGTTCAAAATATTTGTGACATGGGCTGTAGCAACGTTGTGGCTCCACGCACCAAAATGAAGTTGGCATAACAATTAATGTTCAAGTCGCCAAAGCCCTTGCCTGGCCTTTGCACCTCCAACATTTTGCTCGTTGACCATCGATGGGCGATACAGCCTGGTCAGGTGGCTCTGCATGTTGGCAGTCGTGATCACGGCTATCAGATGAAACGACAGAGCAGCAGTCCGTAGCATCACATCTCCTTTTGCTGCCAACAGGCTTCAATGTGTCCCCATATAGGATGTAATGCCCACGTTGGGCTAATATTGTTTGGCCATGGCATCAGAGGTGTAAATGTGTCAAGGCTCCATGCAAGATGCATGGTCCCATCGCACTGAACGCTAGGTGTCGCTGCAGAACGGACCAACTGGCTTGCGCCATGAGTGCTCATGCATTCCCCATGTGTGACCTGACATATTTGTTCTGAAGGAATTGATGAAGATGCTGATAATCTGATAGGATCTTGTTGTAGTGTGAGTGATGCATGTCTTTCTTTGGATCCAAGTTGTACCAGACGTGTTGATGATTTGTAGATCGACAGCAGTCCATCAGTCTTTCTGAGCATTCCTTGCTTGATGGCCCTCCAGATACCCACACTGCCTCTTCTTCCTTGAAATGCTGCAGAGTAAAGATTTTCGAAAGGCGATGGCAAGGGACACTATCAAGGTGTGCCTCGATGTGGCCATTTGCAGCCCTGGGCCTCCTATATTACAAGCAAGCACCTGCAATTCCAGATGGAACTGTGCCACGCTTTGAAGTGTCCCCATCCTTGGCACAAAAAACTGTGGAGTTTGGAGCACTTTCCCTGCCTGCCTTCCTGCCAGTCTGCAGTTCATCAGCACCAACAGTGGGTGCTGATCAAGCACTGTTGCACTTCTGTTAGGATCATTATGTGTCCATTGCCGTTTACCCACAGTTCATTTGCCAGGCCGGATGATGGCCAGGAAACGTTCGTGAATATAGCACATTCTCGTCATCGCTTCAAAGTCCACTGGCACCACTTGTCTTTCGAAGGCAATTTCAAGCAAACGAGTTAGCAGTCCATTTGTACTGCCCCCCCACAGGAGATGGTGCACCGCCAGCAGTTCTACTTCTGGCAGTTCTACCGCAACAATCGCGCCAACGAGGCTCTGGGTGAGGACTCGGCGCCCGCAGAGGAGGGGGGCCCATGGGATCAAAACCGGGGACAGACAGGTAGTCAGCGAAACGCCAGTGATGGCCAGGGCCAGCACAATACTGGCAAGGAGGTCCACGGGGGTCAAGGAAACATCAACAAGGCTGATGCGAAAGAGGGTACAGCAATGCAAGTTGGTTAGTGGGTGTTTTGTTTGATTGTGTTTGTCAGCTAGTGTTGGGGCACTGCCTCTGCAGCTCAGGAGTTATGACATTATTCTTGGTCGACCGAGAAACAAGGTGGCAACTCTCTTGCGTTCGTTGGGAATGCGATGCGGGGTGGTGCTGGATGGAGGTGGGATGGGAGAAGAGCGTGCCGATCGAAAACGAGGGGGGTGTGGGTGTGATGTTGCCAGGGCTGCATTAAAGAAGGGGTAAGGGACATTGGTTGCATCCATTTAATTTGTTGAAAACGATTTTCCAACAGATTGAGAATGTGCCATACAATGCGGCTCGCCCTTACTTTGTCAGAGACAAAACGCTTTCGTTACTAATGATGGTGACCGCTAGTGGTTGTGTCTGAGATATTATCATTGATAGAGCTGCTCCCTCCCTCCTCTTCCACTCTCATCCCCGCTCATCACGCTTCCCTTGTGAACAGAGGTTCTATTGCCATACTCACTAAACTGCAAGAAGTTCTTTACTTCTGAAGTTGTCAGACCATCTACGAACGGTGAACGAATGAATGAACGCATGCATCCATCACAGCAATGTGCAACTCAATGCACTGGAACATATTTCTACTGAACTCCGCTCTCCAGACAGCTACAGTTCTGCCTGTAGGAGTTGTGACCCTACAGTCCCAAAATGCGTTTGCAGGACATGTCTCCCTTCTTGTTCACAAGCAATCTGCAACATCACCGAGAGAAAGAAGAAAGTACTGAGGAATGCTGAACGCGGAAAAATCCAATTTGCAGTAACTTGACCCGCTTGGAGGATTTCTGGCCTTGGGGATATGCCCTCTGCAAGACCCTGGGGCCCACCAAAAGGCCAGCAGTTTTCATCCATGAAACGAACGCTGGTTGGCCAGCAAACTCCGCTGAATTTCTGCTGCGTGGGCTATGTGAACAGATGCCAACATTTTCCACACCATGGTGCAAGGTGTCTTGGCTGTGTTTTCTTTGGTGTCTTGGCTTTGTTTCCTTTGGGGATCGACAGCCAGGTCCGGCGCCCGGGGCGTGGCGCTGAATTTGTGGTCTCTTTATTTGGGCTTAACTGCTAAATCGAGTGGTGTAGGTGCAAAGAGCACGCTGCCAGCTCGCACTAAACGAACGCAAACTACTAGAGAGATTCCAGCTGCGGCAAGAGAGTGCAGCGGTGATGTGAATCAAGCGAATTGGGTGACGCACTCACTGGAAATGGCGACCATGATGCGGCGTCGGCAACACTGCGTGGTTGCAGAATGTATTACATAAAGCGCTATTCTTTCGCTGTTCCCCTGCATGTTGAACATGGAGGCCATTTCACAACCAGATGTGTGTGTGTGTGTGTGTGCGTCATCGCCTCGAGGCAAATGGAATTGAATTAATAATCCACCATGAACTCCACCATGAGTGCAACCTGCATCCACAATCCAATTATATTCCTGCACGGGCGGCACAAGGCCCCCATATCTTGTGACAGGACAGGTGAGGCACGTGCACGCTAAAATGTGATGCACCACTTTGGAATCAACAAAAAAAAGGCCAAGGCACCGAAACATCGCCTCTAAGGTGCAAGGGCAATGTTTTGTCGTGTTTATATGACAAATGTAATCAAAGGATTTGAGCACCGCGAAACCAAGCGAAGAAGCCAAAAAAAGCGAAGAAACCAAAAAAACGAAAAGCAAAACAAGCGACGCAAAACCACACAGCCCCCGCAAGTCCGCCCAAACCCCGGACCGCCCTCGGCACCCCGCCACCACCGCCGCGCGACGGCCCCCATGCTACCCATACGCGGCCTCTGGGCCCGCGGGCCCCCCCCGGCCCCCCGGGCCCTCCTGCGATCCCCCCATTCCCTCCACTCCGCCCCCGCCGAAGCGAGCCCCTTCCCCTGCCTGACCGAGGCCGACGCCCTCGAGCGACTCCGATCCTCCGCCGCCCGCCTTCCGGAATCTTCATCCCCGCTGGCATTTTTCTCGTCCGTGATCGGCGGCGTGGTTACCGACGGGCATTTGATGGCGGCGCCCATTGATGACCATTTGGTGCACCGGGGCCACGGGGTGTTCGACACGGCGACGGTGTGGGGAGGGCGGGCGTACATGCTGGAGCAGCACCTGGCCCGACTGGCGGCATCGGCGCGGGGCGCGGAGATCGACTTCGAGGGGAAAGGCTGGCCCAAGTCGCGGCTCAAGGCAAGTGTGCGGCAGGATGTGTCCCAATCCCACAAAACCACTGCGTGCAAAGGAGTGGCCCACAAGAAGAACGCCCCAGCCAGGTGGGGTGGGGTGCGTGCGTGTCGAGATGTTTTCCCAATCTCGCGAACACCCCAGTGGTGTGGGGGCGGGTGGGTGGGTAGGCGGCAAGGGAGGGAGGGGAATGGGGGGGGGGACGCATGTCGCGCGTCGCTCGTCCACCGCCACTGGGCGCCAGGTTAAGGACGGGCTCACGGGGGCGTCCCTCGAAGGCTGCAGCATCATCATGAATTTCTGCGACGGCCGCCTTTGAAGACAACCCAAGCCTGGGTCTTTGGGTTGGGGCGGAAGCTGAATGAGAGTTGCGCGTTTTCCTTGCGCGAATTCGCCCGCATTTGAATCGTGGTAAACGCTGGAAATTGTGCGTCAGCAGCGTGGGCAGAACTCGCTTGAAAAGGACCGATCAAACTGCTGGCTTTAGCGTTACTTCACTTGTTTGCAACAACAACAACAATGCACTAAGCACAACGTTAACTTTGAAAATAACCGTGTTTTGGGTGCCGCTGTTCTGGTCGCCACTGTTGTGGCCGGTTTCCAGTACCCCTTCTGGGGTACAGCGTGGATGTAGGCTTCATTTAAATTAACTCAAATTAAATTAAATTCAAATTAAACACTGTTTTGGGGAAAATGATATAAGGTTCAGTACTTTATAGTACATTCTTGTACGTATTTGACCTGAAAGTGTGCCATTTTGTCAAAAGCGGCGACCATTGCAGGAAAAAGCGCTGGAAGCCTGTTTGGGCCTTTGTGCTTGTCGGGAATGGAAATTGCGCTCCAGACCTCTTTCACATTGTTGCCATTGCCAACGAAACTTGCATTTATCAGGGCCGTGTGCCCTGAGTCCGCGCAGCTTTCCAGAAAAGCCATGCGCGTCTGGAAGTAATAGTGCGTTTTGCAGCCCTCGATTTCTGTTTCTGTCAATTTTCCCCAGTTCGCGTTTCGAAAACTCCTGTAAATGGTCCACTAGGGCATACACCCTCTGACTAGTTTCTATCATATTTCATCCGTCCTAGGTGAAGTGCCACCAATGACTTTGGCGCCTTGCTTGTCCATCATAAAACATCGGTTTTCAGTGCAATTTCCTCCAAAATTGTGTGTCCGTGAATTTGGTGTACATGATCAGAAAATCAAGCCCATATATTGAGTGGCGGCACATTGCAGCAACTGTGCTCAGGCAACAGCACCTTGAATTTCCAACTCCCGTTTTCGCAATGGCGAGAAACGCACCTTTGCTGCAGCGAAAAAGCCGCCTGTGTAGGACTATCTGCACCAGCAACAACGCGTTGCGACGCGCAGATACAGGAGTGTCCCACATCCCAGATCCGCAGGGATGTCCAGTGGGCGTGGGATGCATTTGCGCATTCTTTGGCCAAAGCATTGGCGAAGTTGTGTGCCGCTCGGATGGGCCAGGGTTGGCGTTTATTTCTTGAAACTGTCAGCTGTGGCTTTCGGGACCAATCTTCCAATTTCGACCTCCATTCGTAAGTTTGTAATAAATTCTCTGAATTTCAGAGGCCGTTTTCGCAGTGCCTGAGGCGCTGGGCTGTGGCGTGTGAACAGACTATTATTCCTGTCACCACAGGCCGCCATCCTCTCCACCATCCGCGCGGCGGGCCGCTCGAATCAATTGGTGCGGTTCTGGCTGGGCGCGGGCCGCGGTGGCTTCTCCATATCCTCCTCTGAGTGCCTCGAGCCGTCGTTCTACTGCGTCGCCAAGCCCTACGAGGTGCTGCCGCAGGCGGCGTACGACAAGGGGCTGGCCATTGTGACGTCCAGCGTGCCCATGAAGCCAAAGATGTTCGCCAACATCAAGACGACCAACTACCTGCCCAACGCCCTGGTGACCTTGCAGGCGAGCATTGCAACATCACCTTGAACCAGTCGTGTAGCAAGCTGGCTGTGTTCTTTGCCCAGACCAATTGATGATGGTTGCGTGCGCAACACTCGGCTCATCACTCGGCTGAAAGCGTTTCACGCAGGTGGCGGACGTGGGCGCAGTGCCAGCAGCATGGCACAATACCTGCTGGATTTTTTTTTTTGAAATCCGTTGCAATTAGATTTGCCAAAATCATGGCAAAGCAAGCGCTGTCACCAAGCTGGCGATGTCGGGCACCTGCTGGATTTAGGATTTGACTTGGCAACAACCAATGCATGGCCTGACATTGCTGACAGCAATACCATTCAAAGAAGCTGCGCTCGGAGCTGACGGCGCTCAGAAAGTGGTTCGCGCCTGTTGTAAACAACGCGCATGACTTGCTTTTGTGTCATTTTTATGTCTATTTTTGTACGTTTAGTCTCGATTTGACGGTAAGCTCAACTCTTCGTGGTGCACTTTTTGTGTGATTCTTCCCGCTGGGGGGGCTAAATGTATCATCTTTTCACAGCATGGAAAAGAGCCTCAATACGCATTTGCTCCGGACAGGGGTGCCAATTGTATGACATGTCTTCTTTGATCTTTAACATATTTACCCACCCACCCGCCCTCCTCTCCTTAGTGTCAATCCTTATGTCGAAGCCAGGATTACTCAGCAACATTACCTAACAGTGGTATTCAACTTCCAGGTGCTTTGAAGGAGAGAAAACAATCACAGTTGTACTGATTTCAGTGGGTTGAAAATTTGGACTCTGATAGGTGAGACGGGCAGTCTCAATGGCTGCAATTTGCGGCCTGCAAGTTGATCCACTCTACGGCCCTCTCTGAAGATCGAGCACTCGCAGGAGGCTTAGGAACATGTCACTGGTTGTTCGCCTCTTGTTATTGGCGTTTTGGGCACCTTCCGTCCTTATTCGATTTTGGCAATTACGTAATCTGTTAGCGTCACGGGCATGGACCCCCCCCCCCCAGCGTCAGATTGACGCTAAGCGCACCAAAATAGACATTCGTCTTCCCCAATGAAAGTGATGCGCTCGTGCTTTTCTCCCCCACGCCATGCCAACTCTTGGTTGGGACGCTGTGCGAGCCCAGGCTGAGCGCGCGGGCGCTTGGAGCGGCGTCTGGGTGACAGACGCTGGCAACATCGCCGAGCTGCCCACCCTCAACATCGGCTTCTCCTTCGCGCCCGACGCCCTCACCTTCCCCAAATTCACCTCCACCCTGGCGGGCCTCACCGCCAGCAGGACGCTGCACCTGGCGGCTGCCCACCTGGGCATGCGCATCGAGCAGAGGGACGTGTCCTTACAAGAGGCCAAGGGGGCGAGGGAGGCTTTTGCAGTCGGGGGCCCCCTGACGACTGTGCCAATTGTGGAGTGGGATGGGGAGAGGGTAGGGGACGGTGGGGTGGGGCCGGTGGCCAGGCGGCTGCGGGAGGCGCAGCTGAAGGACCTGGAGGACGGCTGGGGGGAGGAAGGCGTGCTGGAGGAGGTGGGGGGACTGGGGTAGGGCGCCGGAGCAGTGGTTGTTTGTATTTGTGGTCGTTGTACGTGTTTTGGTGTGTTGGGTGTTCCGCTCTTGGTTCGGTGTTTGACACTATTTACTTTATGCTGGCACTGATGCAGAGCACAGAGCTGGCCGCACATTTGTATTTTAGAGGTGTTGGTGTGTTGGGTGTTCCACTTTCTTTTTTGACACTACTGTGCTTTACGCTGGCACTGTTGTATGGGCAGGCCGTGTACTTGCCTGTCTTGCAGGCAGCGTCTATTTACTTGCTTGGTTCCGTCGAACATTGAACTGCGCGGAGTCTGCTGCGGTATGCTTTGATTGCGCTTGTCCGGCAGAAAGCACATGTTTACGGCCGCCTTGTGCAGTGCCGTGTGCACGGAAAGCAGCATCGAGACAGCTTCCGGCGGTGAGGAGCATCACACTGTGCTGCGTCGCGTCCTTTCAACTGCAGAGACCGCCAACCATCCCACAGTACAGGACGCACAGGACCACCAGGTGCTTACACCGCCGCTGCCGTCGCCAAAGGCACCGTCACATAACTGCACACTCCCATCGTCCACCGCCCCCGCCTTTGAGGCCCTCACTCGCTCGAGCTCGACCGCACTGCCATGTCCCGCGCCTGGCCCTTCTTGGCCACCGTGGGCAGAAACGCCGACAACTGGTCGGAGCGCTTCACCACGGACAAGTCGCACCGGCGCTTCAGCGACGTGCTGATGATCGTGGACTCCACCTTCTCCCCCGTCTCCGGGTACTCCGCCACGTAGTGGCCCCCCCGGCTCTCCTTCCTCTGGAGCGCGCTGAACACCACCAGCTCACCCACCGTCGCCATGTTGAGCAGCTCCAGCAGGCCTGTGCTCACCCCATAGGCCTTCCGGAACGCCTTAGTCTCCACGCAGATCTCTGCCAGCCTCGATGCAGCCATCTTCATTTTCTCCCTTGTGCGCACGATCCCGCAGGCGTCCCACATCAGTGCACGCAGCTCGGCGGTTTTCTCATCCACCCATTCTTTGGCCTGAGGGACTAACTGGCGCGGGCCCTGGGGCCCGGCAAACTCGGCAGATGCCGCTGCGTAATGTAGGGCGCGGCTGCAGCTCTTGAGGGCGTGCTCGGCGTGTGCAACGCTGGGGCCGGCCGCCCTGTGGGCGAAGACCAGGCCCTCCAGGAGGGAGTTGGAGGCCAGCCGGTTGGCACCGTGGAGGCCCGTGGAGGAGACCTCGCCACAGGCGTACAGGCCCTGGATGGAGGTCTCAGCCAGCAGGCCGGTCTGCACCCCGCCGCACATGTAGTGCTGAGCGGGCACCACAGGGATGGGTTCTTTGGTAATGTCGATGCCAAAGTCCTGGCACCTAGGGGGGGGGGCAGTCATGGCACAGTCAGCATAGTCTGTTCCATCTCGCCGGTTTTTCTTCCCAATACTTTTCCACAACCATGGTCTGACCACAAGGCATCTGTGAAGGACGTGTCCATGGCCCAGCAAGTGAATTCTCTTGTGTTCGCAGATTTAGCACGCAAGACAACAATGCTAGACTGCAACGTCCTGCAACCAACCATCACCACGTCTGGTACCCAATTCGTCAACAAAGCTGGCTTGGTCTTCAATTTTCTGTAGTTCTGTAGACCAAAGCATGCCCGCTGCTACTGACATCGTCTTGAAATCGCTTGCACGATACAAGCAGCACACACATATCCAACTCAAGCTATCACAAACTGGCCAACAGCCCAAGTCCTTTGCATCCAAACCCATCTCGTGCATAGGAGGCAAGCAACCATACTCAACCAACCAGCCTACACAAAGCGTCAAACTGCTCAGCAGACCATGACATTCACACAACAGGCGACGGGAATGTCATTTGCGTTGTTTTCATCAATCCAATATGCAAGGTATTCACAGTATACAGGGGACTCACAGCCAGCAATTCCTCTTCTCCACCACAAATGAAGTCCACAATGCCCCACCTGGCAGCAATGTTTGGAAACATCGCCAGCACCTTCTCCGCTGGCTTGTGGCTGATGTCCAGCAGCACATGGCTGTCCCCACCGGCCAGCATTTCCTCCTGGATGGCCCGTGCCACGATGTCACGTGGCGCCAGCTCGCCCCGCCTGTCCACATCCAGCATGAACCGCCGACCAGCACTGTTGAACAGCAGGCCGCCCTCACCACGCACGGCCTCTGAGATTAGGGGTGAGCGCTTGGCCTTGCCACCCGTGAAGAGGCTTGTGGGGTGGAACTGCACAAATTCCATGTTGGCAACGCGGGCCCGGGCGCGGTAGGCGACGGCTATGCCATCGCCTGTGGACACGCTCGGGTTGGTTGTGTGGGGGTAGACCTGGCCAGCGCCCCCTGTGGCGAGCATCGTTGACAGTGCGATGAACCTGCGACAGCCAGAGCGGCGATGGCAACAGAAATCAATACCAGAGTATGCGGTGGACTTGGTGTTATTTACTTATAAATATTCCACTCCTGGAATCTGCACGAGTACCAGAGTCGAGAGTCTCAGGAGAATGGGAGCAACAAACCTCTGGAAGCAATCACTGCAGCTGTGGAACATGACCTAACATTGCATAGGGGGGCAAAGGGCAGCGATTCGCTTTTTCGACAGACAGGGGTTCATACAAGGCACACTCGACACATCAGTACCACAAACAAACCAAAGTTAACGTGGAGCCGCGTCCTTTTGAGCAGGCCCTTGTGGGTTTGACATGCTTCCAGTCGGACATCTACACCTATCTGAAGCTATAAGCATGAAATCCACTCCCCCTCCCCTCCCTGCCATTTTTCATCGAGCACACAGCTGGGCAACAAAGGTCATCCAGTGCCATTCATGCAGCAGCCCTCTCACCTGCACATCGAGTGGTTCTGCTGGTCCAGTACGTCCACGCCCAAGCAGTGTCTCACACCGCCCACCTGTGAGCAAATCGATCAACTTTGAGCAAGCACATATGTGGATGCAGACAGTGCCAATAATCGCCTTGCAGGTCCAAGAGGTGGATGCTGTCACGTTTTGCTATATACACTTGCTGTCCATTGCTTTCATTCTTTCATTTCGTTCAGGATCGCAATACAAAGACCCTTCAGCTGGGGATGGACACTCAACACCTTCCGGTCCTCAACCTCAACCGAATTTGATCAACAACACTGACACTCCCTTCTGCTTGGCACGCAGTTTCTCTGTCCCAGGCTTGTGTTCAGCAGCCTTTGATAGATTCTCTGGGCTACCATTCTTTGGGTCGAAGACCCGTTGCCTTGCCTCAAATACCTTCGTTACCCAATGGGACATGAATGCACTGAAGCGTAGAGCATTGAAAACCTCCCCATGCACACCATTCTGCTATTTCTGGCTGTTTTTCGTCTTCTGAATTTCCTCCAGGGAAGCACTGGCACCATGGCGGGCAACGGCAGTTGGACTTGGGCAATACTAACTTTCTCTGGATGGCCACTGAGTTTACAGTTTCTGTTGTCACTACCAATGAACAACAACCTAAAGAGATACACAAACAAGCTTCTAAACACAAGCTGCGCACCTCATCCACAACGAGGTCCACTGCTAGGTGGTGCTCAAAGAAGTCGATGTTGGAGTTGGCCCGTGCCTGCGCCAGAAGCGCGCGCTCCACCTCTGCACCAGTGGCATCGGCGGCATGCACAACACGGCGACTGCTGTGGCCGCCTTCACGTGTGAGGTGCAGCGAGCCATCATCATTGCGGGAGAAAATGGTTCCCAGGCGCACCAGCTCCATCACACGCGCTGGGCCCTCACGGCAAACCACCTCCACCGCCCTGTCCACAGCAAACGCAAGCCAGGAACTCAGAATTGGCTCAAACAATGAGTCCACTTGACAGCGTAAGCCTTTGCAAGACAAATTTACTTGCCCCCGGAGCTTCCTGGGCGATGGCCAATCAGGAACATGTCTACAGCGTCCACGACGATGTGACACAAACTTTCACCTGGGTGCATGCCAAGGGATTGCATAACAAAAGAGGATGGGTGGGAGGACCACCCACCACATGGCTGTAAATGTGCAGCACACGGAAGCAGTGATGTGTGCTGTGAAACTGGGGAGAAGGCAAGCATGCCTGGAAGCTGCCCAGAACTTACATCTGGACAACATGAGGGCAATCTCTATCTCTGCATAATAGGATGTGGACCAATGTGCATGGAAACATTGGGGCTGCAGTGCCCCAAAAAATTGGCATCACATACTTCTGCACAGCAGAGTGTCTTTGGCAGTTGTGGCACATGTCAAACATGTCAGACCCTCTGCAATCTGTTGACAAAAGCATAGATATCCACATCCCAACCTGCTCCCCTTCTCTCCGCACACTCTGGAAGGGGCCAGGAACCACTCCTAATCGCATGTGTCACTAGATTGCCTCTGCTGATGCCGTCGCCACTCCCTACCATCTCTCTCAGCAACCAACTTGGCGACAGTACCGGCATCGACACCCTCCTACATCCTTTCTTGTCAGTAAACGGGAATGCAAAACACGAAGGGGGCCGAACGCCTTGTGCTCATGAGTGTCGGCCCCCTAAAAGGTGACAGGGAATCGATTGGCAAACCTCGATGCCTTCAATCAATGCAAAATCACACAGTGGGCAAGCAGGCCCCTTCCCCCACCCCAACCCACCCACGCTCTTCATCAACTTTTCACAGCGTGGAAAAGATTCTCACACACCTGCCCAAGAGGGTGTGCCCTTTGTCTCATCATCTTTTCACAGCATGGAAAAGATTCTCACACCACGAGGGTGTGCCCCTTGCACGACCTGTCTTCTTCGAAGCGTAACCAATCCCCCCCCTCCAAAAAAAAAAAAAAAAAACTGGTCCTCACTCACCGTCGATTGTTGAGGAACGCCCCGGCCACCATAGTGTCCCGCACGTGCTCCTCCACCGAGTCCCAGCCTCCCAGCACCGCCGATATCCCGCCCTGCGCGTGCCGCGTGCACCCCTCCTCCGCCTGCGCCTTCGTAATCACAGCCACGCTGCCGTACTCCGCCACCTTCAATGCGTAAGTCAGCCCCGCGATGCCGCTGCCCACCACCGCGAAGTCGTACTGCCGGAAGGCGGGCGGCGCATCAAGGGATGCGGGTTGTGGCGTCGCATCGAAGCCGCCGCTGCCGTTGCCCTCCCAATTCACAACGGCGGCCACGCGCAGCGACCGGACCGATCGGCGTGCACGTCCGCAGGGAGCCATCGCGCCCAAGCGGCGGGATCTGGGCATGCGAATGCCCGCCGGGGCGCCCGGGATCCATTCACGTGGGTGTGCGCTTGATGGGATGCGGCCCATGTGGGGATTGGCCGAGGGGCGGGAGTCCGCGGGCCAATCGCGCCGCGCGAGACTGCAGGAAGCCATTCAGGCCGAGGGGGCGTGGAGGGTGGAAGGGTGCAGCGGTCTGAGAACTCGTTCCGAGATCCGTGGGGGTGCGGGAGGGAAGGATAGGCAAATGCTGATGGTTGTCGTCGTTGGGCGGCGGCGGCGACTCAAAGCACGTTGATGTGGACGGGGTACTTCTTGTTGAACACCCAGGTGCGCTTCGCTGAGCCGCCGGTCACCTGCGCGCCGCATCGCCACACACAAAACCGCTCAGTTGGGCGCCCAAGAGACCAAGTCACACTTTGCAAGGCGCAAGGGTCCAATCCCTTACCATGTCATCTGGCGAGCGGGAAAGGAGTTTTCTGGCGGGGTGAGGGCAGGGGGGAGCGTGGGTGGGCGTCCGGTGGCCAAGCCGAGGGTGTGGAGGCGGGAGGGGATGGGGGCAGAGGGGGGCACGGGCCTTTGTAACAACGGGAGGGGTTCGCGTGGACGGTGGTCCCAGTGGTCCTAGTGTGGCGAGGCGGGCCACACGCTGGGGCGCCCCGAGGGACACGTCAGGCATGGCCACGGCCCCAGCGGCGAAGGTTGGCGGCAGGGACGGGCACGGCACGGCGGCTTTACCAGAGATGGAGACGTTAATCCAGGCTGGGGCTCTCGTTGCATTCTGGCCATCTTACCCCATCCTGACTCATCCTGCCGTCACACTGGGAGGGCAGGGGGGCGCGAATGCAACGCAGCCTCTTGGGCTCTCGGCCCAACAAGGGGACGTGGGCGTTGGGCCCTGCTTCTGTTTCCATATTTTTCTATTCTATATTTTTCTATTTTCCTATTTATTGTTTCTGTTTCTATTTTTCCGTATTTTTCTTTTTCTACATTCTTCTTGTGTTTCGCCTAGGTTCCATTAATCGGTGGGCTGTGCTGGCGCTGCTTGTTGTTCTGCTCCACCAGCTGGGTGATTATATGGGGTCACTCGTCAGGCATTGCCCAATGCGCTATGTGCCTCGCCGACTCCAGCTACAGCAATGGAACTGGACCCAACCGGAGAAATTATTAACGTTCAGCTTGTTCACTATAAGCTTCCTTGGGGCTGTTTGAAAGGACCTGCTGGCCGCTAACCTCCTCCACCTTACAGGCAGCGTGTCGTGGAGAGTGCATTGTCAATGGGTGTTTCAATCTTGCACAACTCGAGTTCCCAGATGCATGTGGCATTGTTGGTGCTGCTAAAGGACTGTACTTGCAGCGCACCGTCTGTAAAGGGCAACTGGAAAGCAGCCGCCCCATGCACTGGACTCCAGGGGCAGTCCCGGTCTACAACTTCTAACACAGACCAGTCCACACGCTTTGTACACAACAGAGAACACACCAGGCTTGGTTATCAGGCACAGTTCTGAAGACACGACTGGGGATGCCGACATTCATGGTATCCAGGCAGTACTACAGCGAAATTCGGCAGATTTCAGAACGCCATTTGTCACAGCTCTTCACCACAAACGTGTTGACATCCATGTTTCCATCCTTTTCTGGATGCAAGAGTCCAAGTGACCGAGGGGTTTATGCTGTGTTCGAGAGGGCAAGAAAGTTTACATAATCCAATGAGCACAGGCCGCGCGTGCGCAATAAAAATGAAGCACTGCCACGGCACATCACTCCCCACCCCTCACACACTGCTACCTCGTTTGCATCGCCGTTCATTTTTGCAAAGCCAGGTTCTATTTCACAGCGTCTGCACTATGCTCGCATGGAGCACTGAAAACAATTGTTTGGATGCTGTTGTACCCCATATTGCCTGCCAACATGCAAAGGCCTTGTTCTGTCATCAGTTCTCTTGACAAAGTTGACAAACGGAATCCACGTACCATTTTGAAGTGCTTTCAAACGCTACGCCGAGGTCGACCGCGTCCGCGCCGTCTCGTCCTTGTGATCCGAGCCTGCTGTCCTGCATCCACAGGAAGATACGCCCAATCATAAACAAGACAGTGGCATCTAAATGCAAAAACCTGAGTCAAGAAAAAAAAGAGAGAAGGCAACAAGAAACTAAACACAAAGCAGCTCTTGATGCGATCTTCCTTCGTTCTGAACCGCGGGCACATCAGGACTCCACAAGGCCACGCGATCCACCACAAGCCTGACCAACTCTCGCACGATTCCTGCCCTCGTCCCAAAAGCCGAATCGTCCCACCCATGCCCGGCCGTCTGGTCTGCCAGCAGCCCAGCAGCACCCCCGCCAAACGCCCGCCATTCCGCCTGCTCGCGCCGCCTCAGGCGCGCGTGCCCCCCCCCTTTTTGAACTGACGCTCCCCAACGCCGCATCGGCCACGCGGCCCCTTCCCGTCCCGCTCGACCGGCACACTCCTCCAAGCGACCCTCTGAATTTGCGGCCGCCAGCCGATCGCGCCCAGCCTCGCAATTCGAAGCTTTGCGCACACACACCCGCCCCCTTCCTCAATCTGCACCAGCGAGACATCCCGCCAAAAAACTAAGCCCCCAGCCGAGGCCCCGCTGCCTTTCGAGACAGCCGCGACGCTCCACGCACCCCTTCCGGATCCCGGCCGCATCACGACTCGAGCCCGCTGGTCCAACCTGCGGAGACTGCGCCCCGCAGTCTCCGCAGCACGGGACACCCAAGCCGCTGTGCCCAACCGCGCTGAAGGTGAGTAATGCGTCCGAGTCGGAAGCGTCCGACGGCAGCAACGCCTCGCGGACCGCCCGCCCAACCACGGGAGGACGGGTCGCCATGCCCCAGCTGCCGCGCGATCCCACAATAAGACCTCTGCGCCAAATGTGCAAGCAGCGATTCGCGAGTCGTCGGGAGAGATCGCGAGAGATTGGATCGCGGGGGAGGGGGGCCGCGGCGGGGTTGGGCGCGGGGGAGGGAGGGAGGCGGGCGGTCGCCGCGGCGGCGCCTGGTCAGGCTCACCTGCTGTTGTTGCTTCCGCGCCCGGTGGTCAACGAAAACTGCGCCGGCTTGGATGCGATGCGCGAATCGGGGCACAAATATTCCGGACAGGGAGGGGGGCGATGCTGTGGGGCAGCGGCCTGAGTCACGTGGCTGTGGGCATGACGAATGGAGCGCGCGCCCGCAACCATTGCTCCGGCGCCGTTCCGCGCTGTGTTCCGATTGCGTTGCAGTTCTGCTGGCCTTACAGGCGTGTTGTTGAGCGCTGGTCGTGCGCGAGCCGTGGTTGGGGAGGGATTCGAAACCGTGACCATGGGATCGGTAGGCCGGTGCGGTTTCTGCCAAAGCCACTCGGTCATCATCAGCGCCCGTCCTTTTGGGGCTAGGCCTGTCATGTGTGGTAGATGGTGGTGCTCGATGAGCACTGATTATCGAAGGTATGGCACTGCTCCCGTGGCACTGCTACGCACCCCCAATCCACCCCCCACCCTTTTCACAAGCGTAATTTCGTGGCCGGGGAGGTGCGCAAGATGGCAGCGTTTCAAATGCATTAAGCAGCAGTGCACCCGATCAGACCCTTGAATGCACCTTCTATCAGATGGCTCAATGGACGTGTTGCTGGCTGTTACGAGTTCAATTTTTCCAATCGCACTTGCAGAGATTGTAGGCATTGTAAATGAAAGCATGCCTCCTAACAGGCTTGCTATTTACATATATGTGTACGTTTTTACGCGTAAAAATGTAAGTTTGTAGAAGGGGCTATTTCTATAGCTGCATTTACCTTTTCATGGACACCAGGTTACACGATGAAAGTCGCCTACAATTGTCAGTCCTCTCCCTGGTCCCCCTCTACCTCCCTTGATCATATGGAACATAGTGTCCACCTCACCCTCAGCAACAGCGTCGTCGAACAAATGTTCGATTTCTGCCCACTCCAGCGCCTCTGGCTGCCACTCCCCAGACTCCATAAATCTGTACTGTTTTGTGTACACGGGGCTGTATTTGCGCATTTTTGTGTCTTTTTACTAGTAAAAACGTAAAAATTTCTATTACGCATGAAAATTTCTATTATGTAAGCACGATCAGTTTTTACAGCGTATGTAACAAGCCTGACTCCAAAGCCCCCTACAAGCTGCTTTCAATGGAAGCCCAATATCACGCCCCTTAAATAGTCGGCATCACATCCAGCGGTCATGCTGCAGCGTGGTGACCAGGCTTGCTACTTGCCGCGTAAACCCAACGTCTATTGACGCACGTACGGGTAAAGAACCTAAATGCAGGCACTGTGTGCACAAAGACAGTACATACAAACTCAGGGAGTCCGTGTGTGGCTGTCAGAGGCGCTGAAGCGGGCAGAAAACGACCTTTCGTCATTAGGAGAAAAGGGGCCAAATAACACATGTTCGAACGTGTATGAAATTTACGGGTTTGTCTTATTTTCGTATTCACAGCATGCAGAACACTGATGAAATGCACATATTGTGTTCCCAGAAAGTGTTATTTGGTCCTTCCTTTACTAATGTTGTTCGACAACGTCACTGCCATTGCCGGGGGCCAGGTGGATGCTTTGTTGCAGGCGGCCGAAGGGGTGGAGGGCTGATCGTTGTTTGCGACATCACTATGTAGCCCGGAGGTCTCAGCGCGCCGTAAAATTATGTAAACACAGCAATTCAAATGATGTTTCCGAATGAGTGTATTAATGCGTAAACCGTAAATGAAAAATGGCTCCGTGAACTAAATAAGAAGCCTGGTGGTGAATGATGGAAAGTCCACCGTGAAAGGCTGAATGAAATTGAACGCATTTATTGACTTGACTTCCGATGCCCGCCTCCCAACAGCGACATGCTTTTGCCGCCTCCCAACAGCGACATGCTTTTGCTTTCACAATTTGTAACGGCTAGCCATGTCCACAAGTGGTGTTGTTTTTAAAACACGCAAACACGGGATTTTGGCGGCCTTTCAGTTTGTGATGCGTCTTGCATCGTACAGCATTGCGTATTACACACTACGCAGTTTCCCTTGACAATCGATTCCCGAAAAATTTGGATTGGATGGGGTGCAATGCATTACGCACAGGGCCGAGCAGGAGCTCTCGAAATGAGGTTGAGAATGCAAAATGCAGACTGGAATGGGAATCGGATAGAGGCTTGAAGTACAGAGCACACTGGGGATCCACTGCTGGTATCAAACCATCTCGTTGGACATCTCATGGCACTGCACATTCAAGAAGTAGATGACACGGGCGTAATTCTGCCAAATTAGATAGACCCTACAGGAAAAGAGCTAAAACGAGAGGGCAGCAACTTGAGTTGAAAGGAAAAACAGAAACAAATCTCGGTGTGGATCTTATGCGGTAGCATACTCAGGTGACCACAAGAAAGGCGCCGCATGTGTGCCACGAAAACTGGTATTCCAGCACGGCGCAGACGTTTGTACTGAAATCAGTGGGTGGGGTTCATCACTGAGCTTGTTTGCGTTCCCACTGGGCTGTCATACTCTTCCATTGCATTATGGATACAGCAATTTGGGTTCAAATCCAATCGCTGTTGAAAGCGGCCACCTGCCGGACCTCGCGGACCACCTTCAATAAATGCATCACTGCAGTCTTGCATTTCCCTCGCACCGTAAAGTGCATAGGTCTGTTGTGTGTGAGCGAACATGAGCCAGTCGGTGTGGTCAAACCAAGGAAGGAAGCACCTACGAAAACAGGTTGAAATTCGCTCTAAGGCATGGAAGGATATGCTGTTTTTGAATACTGGGACGTCTGCTATGTTGAGCACAATACATGGAGAGAAGGGTTCATATACAAACGCAAATAATCCTGCCGTTTGGTAGTCCGTTGCTTCAGAGGTATTCCAACGCAAATCAAACGAGCTCCAGCAGATAATAGTCCTACTGAGCAGCGGGCTGTCATCTTGCAATGTGCAAAGGACAGAAACGAACAAATGATCGTGAGATCTTGGATGATCCCAGAGGAAATCTTTCTGCCGCTATGAGCGGCGGGGACACCGCTCGGGCTATGGCTGCGGCTCAGCCTATTTGCATGGAGTTTCGTCGTTTCACGAAACGCTGGCAAAGCGAACTGTGAGCATGGGATCCTTTCACCCAGAATACCAGCGCTTTCGAAAACGCAAACTGCCGTGTGCACGTGTATATCCACGAGATCTCCATTTGTGGCGGTCAGAAACCACTTCCCTTCTGCTGTGCTCCCCTGAGCCTGTTGCTCGAACTCATAGGTGAACGCACCTGGAGTTTCAGTCGGTTCCATATGTCGGGACCGCAGTATCGTCGAAGGTTAGTGAATTGACATTTTTCGGAACCACTGCCAGGCTTTGAGACTTTTGTCCGATGTCCGTAAGCTCAGATATCAAAACCCACTCCATTACTGGCCAAATTGATACCAAAAATTGGTTCACTGGATTCTTCGTACATTAATACAATCGTGGACGTTTTTTGAGAAATCGGATACTTTTTCATATTCCCCAACTCTCCCCAACTCTCCCCAACTTATCCCCAACATTTTCTTATTACTCGAATTACTTGCTATTAACTCTAGACAGAATATCTGGCGGGTACTTACAGCATGATATGGTTGATGCAGTTTTCAAATGGTGCCAAATGTGAATCCATGTTGCCAGGCTGTCTGTGCCTGTGGACAAATTGTTTTGAATTTCAAACCAGAAAAGAGTCAGTCTAAAGAGCCGCAGCCCTCAAATTCCGCGCCTCCCACCCCGCCTCCCATTTCCTTTACCTTCGCGCTGCGGGGGAAAATTCCCGTTCCACAATGTCTGACCGCGTTTCGCCACAGTTCTACCTCCCATTTTGTACTGGAGCTCCGCGGCCTTTTCTGGAGAAAAGGCGATCATAGCAGAGCCACTATGATCACATGCGATTTTGCTGATACAGTGGTACCATCCGGATGTTGACATGAAATCTGAACATTTCAAGACGCAACCTGACGAGGATCGGTAAACAGGTGGTAGAAATAGTGGTGGAGCTGTGGCTAATCGTACTGAAGCATGGCCCATTGGGGCTTCCCTTACTATTGCTAGACAACCTTGCAAACTTTGATCATCCTGCCAAAATGTCTACACTCCTGGCTGGGATTGGTACTCAGTGCCAATTCACATTGAGCAAAAGCTTTCGACGCCCTTATGAGGCAATGACGCTATAAAAGGGAGACATACTGTAGCCGTAGTGAAAAGTTTCCATATGCTTATCCTCACATGCAGTTACTGCCCATGTCCTCGCCTGTATTCTGTATATCTGCGCATAGCCATTGCTGCCACGGCAGTTCTGACTTGGACCACCACCATAATTTATCTCCCACAATTGTAATTTTGATGGTGAATATCCTCCACCGATCTCGGCATATTACGTCAGCAGTTCCTTCAGTGCACTCTCTTCTTCTGCTGTACACCCAACACCATCAACGGTCGAAAACACGCAAATGCGATCTTTCGGGGTTCTGCCACGTATGTCCTTGGCCTGTTTGTCCGCACCCGCCATGACAAGAGACACGGCAATATCTACACTGCCATATTCCGAAGCATCATGGAGAGGCTGCTCTCCATCATTACTGTCAACAGCCCCCACGTCTGCTCCTTGCTCTATTAGGAATACTGCAACACGCTTGCTGTTTCTTGCGGCTGCGTAGTGCAGAGGTGTCCCATGCCTGGCCTGAGCGTCCACGTCAGCACCTGCTTCGACCAATACCCTTGTAACAACCAGGTTATCGAAAGCAGCAGCGCAATGAAGGACAGTAGAATTGTCGAAGTCAGGTATTGTCGGTATTCCGCAAGATGACCTTGCGCTTAGGTTGGCTCCTTTTGAAAGCAGTTCTATCGCCAGAGTCTCTACCTCGGCACTTTCTCCAGAATTTGCCAACTCCAGGAGCTCCTGTGCAAGCATGCGTCTCAATCTCCTATGGTCATTAGCACTCATTTATTTTGTGCGTAAATAAACCAACTTGGGTTTTCTGCACAATTGACACGCAAGTAAACGCCCAAAATCTGCCAGCGTAGGAATGGGGCGTCTGTCCATACCCCCAGCATTGGAAGGGCAGGGGACGGCGGCAGGAATGTTCCTGAATTATAATTCCTTGATTATTGATATTCCAATTAATTGGTGGGAAATGTTATTAGGTGCGTGGGTGGGTATTTTGGATAGGAAGGTGTGGTGTGGAGGATGGTTGGGCTATCTATGGCGTCGGCGATTCGGCAGGAGCCCCCTTTTCAGCGGGACCCGCAGGAAAGGTCCCATATTCTCAGGGGATATCTCCAAGTTTGAGACATTTATTTCGGACAATCTAATTCAAGATAATCGGCCAATGTAGTTGGAAACAGCCTTTCGTGCAAAATGTCGGTAAGGTCCAAAAGGCTGCACTTGTATTCAACATCACATTTATGTGTTTTTTTGGGCAAAACGGTTGTGCTCAAGATTGGCCGTCAGAAAACAAAGAAATTTGTGCGCAACATTGCCATTTCTAGATGAACAAAAAGAGAAGAGGATGCATGTTCTGTTGTTTTCCGTGACACCCTTACCGACATTTTGCACGAAAGCTAGTTTGGAGCTTGGGAATCTCAAACTACTTGCAAAGAATAGAAATGTTCAACATTGGCGTCACTCCACCTTATCTCATTCCGCATGAGCAGCAGCGAAAATGAAAGATCGCAGCTGAGCCCCGTTTGTTGGTTGAAGTGGTGTCAGCAATGGAAATTTGCAGTTGCCTTGCAAAAGATTTGAGCCTCTCATGGAACCTCACTCTACCGCGCTACGCAGTGCAGAAGCGGCGTGTGGCTTCCAAGATAATTTACACATGAAGCAATTCAAGTACATTGACGAACATGATGCCGCTGTACATGGACTCATCTTCGGCCAAAATCATGCGCTTGACCACAATGGCCCATAGCATGATGGGTACCGTAAATCGCGGGGAATAGTGCGGGGGATATTGAATAACGCGGGGGCTCTGATATAGCGGCCCCCGCGTTCTTGACGCCAGCTTTGATGCTCAATGGCGGCGGGGTAGGGGGGTGTCCTTCGTGATCTGTCATATGGTGCACTAACTTGGGAATGTTTCATGCAATTGAGGATTGTGGCATGAAACATATTGCGCATTGCTAGGTGTGTGGTGTTTAAGGGGATGGAGAAGAATATGGTGAACATGTGTTGAGTACAGTGAAACGCATATCGAGCAACGATTCGAGAGTGTCAACCGTTTGCATTTATAACAAGTCTATTTGACACTCATCCTATGTACAAAACTGCAAAGTGACCTGAAGGCTTTCCATCGCAATGCAGCATACATAACCTGGACCTAGTTGGCACACCTCTGCTACTGCCGTGTCATGCAGAATCAGGCGAGCACATTCGCCAACCAATTGTAGCTTCTGTTTGCACGGCCGGAGTTCTCTTACCTTATCGAGTGCTGATTGTTCTTCTGCCGGCAAAAGAGGAGCATCCTTTACGCACAACAAAATATCAAAACCCCCAAAAGCACTCCGAATGAACTTCGATGAGTGATTATGCGATAATGTCATTATTTTCCATTTGTTTATTGCTGTCTTAGATGCCATCTGACATTGTCAACTCGATCTCATTTATTTACCCAACACATTTCTAGTCACCAATGCCAGTACGTTGCCAAGACCCATTCCAGTAGCCATGAACTAGGAAATCTTACTAATGGCGTGCAGATATCTGGGTAATGCCATGTACGTGAATGGCTGTGGGAAAGGCGTCACGATTATGAATGATACAAGTCCACTCCCGAAATGAGGCTATACAATACATGGCAACATTTACCGAAGATGGTGAAGGTGACTGCGTCGTTGGAAGCCTAGGTGCTTGTGATGGCGGCGACGGCGTTGGCAGCCTCGGTGCTTGTGATGGCGGCGACGGCGGTGGCAGCCCCGGTGCTTGTGATGGCGGCGGCGTTCTTGGGGAAGGTGGTGAGGCTTCTGGGTTGATTTCACCAGATTCAGGTGGTGGCGATGGCAATGGAAAAGGGCTTGCATTGGAAGACTGGGTACCCTGCCACCACAAAAAAAATCAAACAAGTTGAAGCTGAGAGCGAGCATCCTGATTTCTGAACGAAATGTTTTTGAACACTTTTGAACAGTTTAGGACAGAAGGTCCAAAGTCCTTGTCGTCGCAAAAACAGGGCCATTAGAGTCCTCAAATTACATTGGATACATTGTTGTATGCAAACGATTGTAATTTTGCATGTCTGGGGGCTTGCCGGAGAAGTCAATTGAAATATGGAGCTCAGATTAGGTGCAGTTAGCCTGGCAGAAATTCATCCCCGTTATGTGCGTAGACAAATGCATCAGCATGCTGACAGGCAAGTGATGCACAGAAGCAAAGACATGTCGACATGAATAGCCGATACTGAAAGGGTGTTGAGAGAATACAGAATCAATTGTAGTTCACTCCACCGCCAACCAGTAACCCGGGGTGTCTGAAAATCAACATAGGGGCTGATATCCTTGGATTTGCACACCTGCATGGATTTCACACGTGGATCTAAATTTGTAATATCGAAAGACATTTCAGCAGATCCACACCAGAGTTTAGGATGAAACGCTGTCAATGTTATTTTCACTTACAGTTATCTTGTTGTCAATCCACGGACGAAAACTACTGAGCCTCGTAAAAACGTCGGGATTTCGAGACTCTCCACACGTCAATTCGCCAAATGATGCGATGCCGACGACAATGTCCAGCCCAGGTTCACCCCTGGAGGCGTCAAGACCAGGTGCATCCGCTTGCAGCAAAGGCCCTCCACTGTCACCTGCTGGCAAATTTGCAGGAGCTCAATTCTGGCTGTCAATGATATGCTTCTGGGATTGTGAATTGCTAACGACAAGACAATGTAAAATATTCAGTCGAAATGTGAAAATTCGGCAGATATTTTGCCTGGGATAGGTAAAACGCGCAGTACTCTCTAATCCACTACGGTACAAAATATGTCAAAGTCACACCAGATGGGATGCGCACTGCAGAAGTTCGCGCATACCAAGATTTATTTTCTACAAGTATAAATCAATGCTGCAAATGTAAACATGATGGAAACTCATTTGTGTTTTGGATTCATATTCAATTTACCTTTGCAGACATCTTCGCCATTGAAACTGAAGGCACAGAGCATCGTGCTCTGTATGAGGCCATTCCAAGCTTCGCTGGAGTTGCAGAATTTGTTCTGGAGATAATCAATAGACGTGGCTTGCTGGAGTTGTTTTCTGTCTCCAGTGGTGCCATTTTCTTGCTTTCCCCAACCCAGTGCCAAGAGCTGCTCTGCCCCCAAGAGGGAGTGGATGGCTGTGGCAAGACCACCAGGGATATGCCTGGATGCAGTCTTCAACCTCAACAATGCAATGTCATTTCCGTCTTTGAGTTCTCCAGTCCAATCTTCATGAATTATAGTGTCGCTCGGCAGCATTTTCTGCATCACCATTGTGAAGTGTGTTAGCTGCTGTTCATGCAACAGCACTCTGTGTGGGCTATCAGTAAAAGGCCAACAGAAAATGCAGCTTCGAATCATTGCATATCATGTGGTGTTGCAGTATGCGACTGAACCCATGTGTCACAATCTAATTTCGACTTCCGCATGGAATTACTGCACAGTACACACATATCCAACAACCACAAATTTTGCATTGGGCAAAGAAACTTCCATTTTCTCAGAACATATGAATGCATTTTAGATCGCTTGGCACAACATAGAAGCTTCCATGGCTGAAAATTCCAGGGCCTGGCATATCAGAACGGGTGAGCTGGGGCCTCAGAACCCGAATATCCCTGTCAGACGACGTTCTCCCTCCCAAAATTGCTCACCTCAACAACACCATTCTCATTTTCAGTGTCCTCAAGATTACATGCCCCAATAACAATGGTGGGTGTCCCTCCCAGTGAAGAAGGTTCGTGAGGATCAACACAATGGGCTGCTGTCAACACCCATTGGGGATCAACGAGCACTCCACCGCATCCATGGACGTTGCCTCTGGTCTGCAGTGACACCATATATGGGTAGCGCCCACATGGTGCATCCTCCCCTCTCTACACAATCCACAAGTGTTCCACAGCTTCAGGCCATGCAGAATACCACAGTAACAATACGCACAATAGGGATCAAGAGCACCGATGATTGGAAAAGGGCAGCACAGCACTGTGTCAAGCTGATGCCCAGATGTGAACTGAAAATATGTCCCTGAAACAACTCATGCCCTTACCCCGATAAGCCCTTCCTGCTGGATCTGCCGCGTATGCTGAAGCCCTGCAAGGAAATGCCGCTGTTGTTTTGCATTTTATCCCAAGGACAGAATGCGCTGACCTGTGATGGCTCTACTGGTCTAGTGAGCCAGTTGTGGCAGATTAACTCATATTCCACACATCTCTTCGCCTGCTTCAAAGATACAGAAAACTGCCAAAACGAGTTTCCAGAGGAAAAGCCAGCAGGTCCTTGTGAACAGGCTGCACCAGTGACTTGGCTACTCTAACGCCATGTGCAACCCACTCCACACACAACGCACAATAGGTCAATAAGTTAATGGGGAAATTGGGTTGCTATGACACGTATGGCCACAACAACCAGCACAATGGCCCGCTGCGGGATCTACAGAACCAGAACCAATTCATGAGCCAAAATGTCAACGATGCCCAGCCTGTCAGCACACCCACATCCTTGGGCAAGGTCCAGCGTGCAGCGTGGTGAACAGACTGGGGCAGTAACAGTTGGCCGCCCTTGCAGCCACTTCTTGCTTTCTCCCCCAAACAAGAAAGGTGTCATGCGAACGTTCTCCTCTCCTCATGTGCACTATTTGACATGCTTTCCTCGGTACTTTGGAAGACAACGCAAAGGTGTGCGAAAGCAACTCGAACAGCACACAGCAGATGCCAGCAAGAATCCGGACTGAACCACATGCTGTAATCTTGCAGAGTGCCATGCACAGATACGACTGCCGAGAGATAATGGGAGCTTGGGTGATCCAAAAGCAAAGCTTCCTGGGCTGTAGGCGACGGGGACAGCCTCACGGGTTGTGGGCGAGGCTGGTTGCGTCATGCTCCGTCGTCACAAGAGACGCTCGCATCGTGAACCGGCGAGTATGCGATCCGTGCATCCGGTGTACCTTCGATTCCGGCGAGGCCAACCAACACAAACACCAATTGAGCCCAAGCGGCGGCCAGGTCAGCGACGCCCGCGCCCATCAGCCCAACAGGCAAGCGCCTGAGATTCGGATAATAGATATCGGGAAAGTGCCCCTGGATGCAAGCTGCACCCGCGCCCGCGGCGACCTGGCGCCCCGCTGCGGCGCTTTCGAGATCGACGGGACCGAGGCCCCAGGCGGTGTGACCACCGACTGTTCGGGCCGTTGGGAAACTGGAGGGAACTCCCGAGCGGATGCAGAGGTAACGTTATTTACCCTCTTCTTTCCAACGTCAGCAGGGAGGCCCCTGACGGGGTCGGGCCGCGGCGGGCCGTCCCCGCTCGCACGTGGCTAGGGACGAGCCACACCCCGTGTGCGCCCCAGCTGCGGAAAAGGCTGTCGTGGGAGGGGGCACTGGCGCCTCCCCTCCGCAGTTCCGCAGTTCCGCACCTCGGCAACCGTGGCCGTGATCGCGGCTGGCCCGGCGGGCGCCATCGGCGTCGCAAGTCGCTGCCCGCGGGGGGTAGCCTCCAGGCGCACCAC